CTGATGTAGGCGGAGAAGGCCGAAGAGGAACAGCGCCCCAGCTGTTGCAGAGAGGTGTGGGGGAGCCCCAGCGAGGCCGCGCGCGTGGCGGCGCCTATCCTGAAGGAGTGAGCTGTGTAGAGCTGGGGAGACAATTTACAGAGGAGCAGTAGGGATCTTAGTTGAGCTCTGAACCAGGTTGCTGTCATGGGAAGAATGTCTGGAGTGAGAAATAGAGGTCCGTTACACTCGCCTTTTTGCAGCGGAGGCGAGTTTAACGCATCATGGATTTGTAGGGGCAGAGAGATGTGTCCGAGCGAGCTGTTACTATATTGCAGGCTTTTTGATTTTTGAATGTTTGAAATGAAGGTTGAAATGGTCAGGGGACATTATGTTGGGTGAAAAAGAGTGACCTTTGTGTAATGCTTCCACTACATCGAGATTATCACGCATGACAGAGATCCTCTTTCTCTGCCAGGTGTGATTCCACAGCGCGCAGGCCACGACCACTGGGAATATTTCGTGTAGGGCAGAGGAGATGCTCCGGTGGAAAGTAGCGGCCACGGCCAGGCAAACAATGGTCCTGGAAGAACCCCCAAAACCCACGGAAGGGGCAGCGTCCGTGTAGAAGCGGAGACCTGTAGGGGCAGAGACATGTCGAAGAGGGCCATTGATGTTTGCAGGCGCCCTTACGCTTAGAATCTTGGGTTGGAGAGTAGATAATCAGGATAGTAGGATGGTCGGGAAAGCCGTGTCTCGGACCGCATGAAGGTTGAGTGAGCAGTAGTGAAACGCTTATGCAGAGAAGCCATAGAAGGCGAGCAGGAAGATGCTACGAGGAGGGCAGACATGTACTTGGAAGATGAGCCGGAGTTCAGTGCCGCTGCAGGATGGGCAGCATGATGGGGAGCCTGCGATCAGAAGAGTGAAGAATACAGGTATGGATGCGTTTGATTAGGAGTCCGATTGACGGCTCAGCGCAGCTACTCGGCCAGCTGCATCTGATAGATCAGAAGATTAAGTAGAGAGATGAAGCACGACCGCCGAAGCGACCCTGGGAGCATAGGTGCGAGTCCTTTTCCATGCGTTCATTAGCTCCAACTCCACTTCAAACCCTTTGCAGATTCACATTGGGCCCTTTTTCTTTCTGCTGCACTTTCAAAATGCAACAACTGCAGTTTAGTTACCCAATTTAATACTAGTGACCTAGCTATTTAAATGCACGGCCCCTCCTTCCTCCTGCAGATAGACTAATTTCTCCACCAACTCCCACTGATGACTGCTGTCTTTCACTTAACCCCACTTTGCCCAAAGCCCCCACCGAAAGATCAAGGCTATGCTCACACTCAGAGAGCAGCTGTCCTCCTGTGGACTCACCACCTGCAGAGGATCAGTGAGGGGCTGGTGCTATGAGACTTGGGTGGCATCTCTGACTGCCACCCCCCTGACCCAGAAATGGATTAAAGGGTAGAAAATGGATGGATGGATGGATGCTCCTCTTATATCCCTCAGACAATAGAGATTGATGCCATTTAAGATGCATTGCCCCTCAGTTAGCTCAAACACGTGTGAAAACGGAGCCTGCAGACCAAGCACGGGGCGAAAACTGACGCCTGCAGTCAAGTGCAAAAAACCAGCCGCCTGCAGCCCAGACTCCGGGATTAATCCGTCCGCGGTCAGCCCACTCACTGTACTCACATACCAGGAGACTTGGGAAAAGCAACGGGACAACGCGGCACCGCCAATCGGAGGCAGGGACACGCACGGCACCGCCAGACCGTCTGCGCGCGGCAGCAGACCACGAGGAACGAGCAGCACAGAACCCGCGGAGGGGCCCCGCGGAGCAGCCCGCAGAAGAGCCCGCAGAGGAGGAGAGCAGTGGAGACACGCGAACCACAGCAGGTGCAGGGACGCGGAGGAGGAGCAGACCACGAGCAGCCAGACTGAGGACAGCCGGGCCACGCGCACGAGCAACACGTGAGCAGAAGCGACCCCTCCAGAACAACGCATGCATTTGCGAACAGGTGCGTTAGCGACATGCACCTTGCAGGCTTCAGAAGTTTGCAGACTTCAGAAGGCCGGGAAGTGGGCGTCTCCGGCTTTTAACTTGCTGTCCTGGTGGTTATTGGTGGATTGGATGTGGGCGTTTTGCTGGTGTAATGAGCAGAATGAGCAGGCTTGTAGCAGCGGCCGGGTCTACCACAGTGAATTTTCGCGAAGAACTCCATGTCTCTTCACATGTCAGTCTTTCACTCAATACACTGTGCTGATAAACTAAGCCACAGCTGCCCTGGGACACACTGATAGAAGCAAGGCAACCTGTACGTTCCATTTACATAGAAACTAACCTCCTTCTAGGCAGTGGGTGAAGTATATTGCTAAGGACACAATAACGGTTTGGAACTTTACAGCAGCAGCTGCCCCACTGTGGCACCTGGTGTTCCCAGAGGTCTCCCATCACAGTAGTAACCAGGCCCTGCCCTGCTCAGCTTCAAAGGTCTGATGGGATCTGGCTTTCACCTGCAGGTATGACCGCTACTGTATCCTTGGGCAAGACACTTTACAAACATTGTCTAGAACGAGTCTGGTAACCTGGTTGCCTTGCTTCTGTCAGTGTGCCCCAGGGCAGCTGTGGCTACATTAGCAGTTTATCAACACTGTGTTTGGAGTGAATGAATAATGACATGTGAATCGTTCTGGACTTTCCAAAAAACGCTGTATAAAACCGATGCATAATTATTATATATATTATTATTCTACACGGATCAACGTAAAGGAGGTTCTGGGCAGAGCACACAGACCGACACCTGCATGAGCGCCTTGATGCCTTTGGACTTCTATGAGCTGCATGTTTTATTAATACAAATCTTACGCTGATAAAAAAAGACAGATGCAAGCAGAGGAGCGCTCCTATGAGCGCCCACTTTTTTGGGTCAGAGCCAGAAAAACTTTGAAGCTGGATGGCTCCACAGTGGAGAGGCATTTGGAGGAAAGACACACTTTCAGATTTGAGCAAAGAATCCGGTGATCTCCGTGTTAATCCAGGGATTCTGTAGCGACTCAGGAGAGCTAATCTCAGACTCGTGAGGGCAGAGCCGGGAGCTTGTTTGAACACTTGGACGCTCGATCGCACATAGCTCATCTCAGGTCAGGGCCGACGTGCCACTGACGGCTCAAAAACTCACACTTTAGAAACTTGCTATTTATTTGCATTTATTTGAACTTCATCCAGACTCTTGTAGAAAGAGAGTAATAATTGTAAATTCAACACAATAAAATAAAAATCAGCACAAGTGGCTCGCAATTAACAAACTCGCAAAGACTGCAATTATTTAGATGGCATCGTTTTCTAGAGGTAAGCTTATTTGTATGGCACATAACATGCACAAGGCAACTCAAAGCTCTTAACAGAGAGGTAGAAACAATCACACATGGCATTAAAACATTAATAAACATTATTCATCACAGTACGGTTAAACGAGTGAAGATACAATCCTTCGGTTGTTGCAGTGAAACAGAACGATTTCAACCTGGATTTGAACATTGTCAGAGAGGAAGCCTGTCTCACATTTTCAGGAAGACTGTTCAAGATCTTAGATGCATAAATCTTAAACGCTGCCTCCCCATATTTAGTCCTGACACTGGGCCCCAGCAGGAGGCCAGTCCCTGTGCTTCTCAGAGTACGAGTTGGTTCATTTGGCACGAACATATAATTGCCAGTTTTGTGCTCGCAATTGCCCCCTCTGGCCAAACGTGTAACAGCAGCCTCAATGGTAAAGCACATGCATGAGAAACAACAGCTGCGTCAATCCTGTCCTGGACAGGTGCGCTCAGACCAAACGCGTTTTGGGCGTCAAAATCGCGTCTGACGAAGGTCTTGGGATGCTTGTGACAAATTGTGGCAGATGCTGTCTCGGAGCATCTTGGAGGCGCGTCACACGCGTCCAGGACTCTAGAGGACAGCGTCCTGGAGGCGTGTCAGGGAAGAGCGTTTTGGGACGGGCCTGCTCTGTTGCCAACACAACTCGGGAGCCAGGATGAAGGTAAAACGTTTAAAATATGCTTTAATTTGGACATAAGTTAATTCTAATAACATGTGAGGCGAGAAATACCCCCCTCTATTGTCATATCGGAGGTCTCTTTGGTGACCAAATAGAACATTGTCGGACTTTTCTCCAGTGCAGAGAGCGGGGGTCGGGCAGTGCTCAAGCCTAGAAAGAGCGTCTCAACGCGGGGACACATCAGTGGAGCTCTCACAATCTTAATTCTGAAAAACCGAGACTTTTGTTACGGACTTTCTGTTATAACAATTGTATTGGAAGTAATCATTCGTTTTTACAAAGTGACATTGTATGTAATCAATGCACACATATGCGATAAATGATATATGATTGATATATTTGCTATGGCCCTCGTTTGTGCATCACTTACATAAATCTAATAACGTGTGTTTGCTAATGAGAAAGGAATATGGATCTATAATAATAACATCAATGGATCTATAATAATATCAAGCACATCCATGGATCTGTAATAATAATGAACATCAGTAAAAAGGAGTTGGACACAGGAAAGGCCTGGAACTGCTCTTTTTGAAGTCTTGAAAAGCAACAGACTGTTACTGATCAGATTAGAGTTGAATATATTCACTTAGAAGTATAAGTACTGCTGACAAATATGTACCTGTGTAAATAATGCCTTATTTTTCATGACTCTTTACACTTCAGACACAAAAAACTAAATTATAATAACACCAACAAGTTTGAATTTTGATTTTTTTATTTCCAGGCTCTCTATGAAGGTGTCAGAGGCAGACACCCAGGACTCTGCTGTTGCTCCTGCTCCTGCTGTTGCTCCTGCTCCTCCTGTTGCTCTTGCTCCTCCTGTTGCTCCTGCTGCTGATGCTCCTCCTGCTGCTCCTCGTCTTCAGAGATGCAGAGCCCACTGTTCTAACTATTCTTGACTGATGATTAAATAAAACATGAACATATGTTTGTTCATATTGTAAATCTGCAGTGAAGATGGAGGTGAAGCTGGAGGTGATGGAGGTGAAGCAGGAGGTGATGGAGGTGAAGCAGGAGGTGATGGAGGTGAAGCTGGAGGTGATGGAGGTGAAGCAGGTGGTGATGGAGGTGAAGCTGGAGGTGATGGAGGTGAAGCAGGAGGTGATGGAGGTGAAGCTGGAGGTGATGGAGGTGAAGCAGGAGGTGATGGAGGTGAAGCAGGAGGTGATGGAGGTGAAGCAGGAGATGATGGAGGTGAAGCAGGAGGTGATGGAAGTGAAGCAGGAGAAATTATGCCGTGTGATTTTGTTGCTGTCAGAGAAAGTCAGAGTTCCGTTTCACCAAAAGTCTCTGAAAAAGAACACAAACATCATATTAAAACATGGACACCTCAAAATAAAATACAGAAATTCTTCCTGTATTTAATATTATAGGTACACAGCACGAGAAACAGACACTGAGGAGGAACAGAAGAATAATATATTGGAAATATACACACAAATAAAACTTAGAAGCATGGCTAACCACTTTAAACCTGTTGGAAGTGAGACTGTCATCTGCAAATGTCTTTTATTAATGACAAAAGAAACATCTATATAATGTGCTCTTATTTAATAATTCTATACATATATTTATCAGACTATTGTATGAAAAGTGCTTAATAAGCCAAACATATACAGTAAATGTAAATATTTATACAGTATTCCCAGTCTTAGTATGGGATTATAAATTATTTACACAATCTATGTTATATAAATACAGATAACAGTGTTAGCATACTACATGTTAGAATACTACAGCTGCTGTCTTCATGGACTCTTTCCTCTGTGTAGCTTTAATATGTAATCAGTGGGTTTGTTTCTCCCTAAAGATGACATTACAGATTTTGCACAGGGAAGTATTAACAATTGTGAAAAGTTTAATTAACTTACCCAAGACACCAACCTCCTCACTAGCCCTCCTCCATGTCACGGTGCTTATAGTCCGCGGGGCTAATGGGCTGTCCTCTATAGCTGTTGTGTTGTCGTCCCCCTCGGTCCTGCCGTGAGATACGTCACTAGGTCACTGTAGGAGAAAGCTCCTGATTGGTCGACGCTCGTGTCTTCTCCCAAAAAGTTCAACAATGTTCAACTCGAGCGTCGGCCGCGTTGGAGCTGCTCGGGATGCGCCGCGGGATCTCTTGACGCTCCTAGAAGCGCGTCCCCCATGTATTTTCAGTGTAAACCCGACGCTCAAGGCGCGTTTGGTGTGAACTCAGCATTACCGACAATCTTTGAATAACATTGCCAGAAACAGCCTAGAATTCCAATGGCTATCCAATGCACCAGAGCTTGTTGCACCAACTTAGAAAAAGCTGTCTGATAAGTTGGCCTTTCAAAAAATGAACTATGGTTCATTGTAAATGCAAGATTTTGCCAATATATCATAAATAACTGAACCTGAATATAATCTATTTGGTAATGATTCACGTCCATTGTTTGTTCAAGGAGCAAGACAGCCATTGTTTGATCATGTTCAGTGTAAACAGAGAATGGGCATATAATTTACGACTCTGGTGGGACTCGAACCCACAACCTTTGAATGACATTGCCAAAAACAGCCTTGAAGTACAGAGCCTATAGCACCTTGAACGAAAAATCTTAATGACAATATGGCCTTTCAAAAAAATTATGGTTCATTGTAAATTCAAGATTTTGCCAATACTGGGTGGGACTCGAACCCACAACCTTTGAATGGCATTGCCAATAGAAAAATTATTGAACTTTGACATAATCTATTTGGAAATGAATCAAGTCCATTGTTCGTTCAAGGGAGAAAGACAACCAAAGTTTTACCACATCCAACGAATGAGCACGTAAACTGCGACTCTAGATTTGCAGGCATGACTTCGACATAGGAAAATAAACGTTACTGTTTTTTAAGATATTTAGATCAACTCAAAGTGAGTGTATTTTTGTATGTGATGCTTCAGCAAATGTAAAGCAAAGTGAATCATGTGAAGAAGCCAAATGATAAATACAAGAATGAACAACGTTTGAAAGAGGAACTAAAATACTTATTTTATGTATTGTACTATACTATATTTTGTATGTATAAATGTAAGCCTTTTACTATTAATAAAATAATTCCACAGGTAGAAATGCTTTTATGAAAAGTCCATTAAAGTTAGCGTATCTTTTAAACTATGCTTGTATTAAGATTCTTTTTGTAGTTTATTCACTACTTATCCATTCTTGAACATTAACATTCACTCTTATTTTGCGGCCAGGAGAAGCTAACATTAGCAACATTATTATTCAGCACAATTACCCCTGTTACTGTTGTGTAGGTATTAGTGACGTGCGGTGAGGGTCTCCACCCACCAATGCAATAGAAAAAAATATATAATATATACCAGCAAACTTTGCACAATCGACCAATTCAAGGAACGTTATCTCACCAAAAGAATCAAATATAGCTTTCATTTAAGGTCTGACATTGTGCCGAATTTTGAAAAACACCTGTTTCCTCTCATTTTCGACTGGCATTTTACACTGGCTTCTCTCCTCTGTCAGGCCAAGTTGCGCACGTCTCCGTTCAAATCGTTCATAGAATATTATGAAAATTCTGTCTCATACGTTCCACAACTCCAGTATGACAGAAAATATCTTCATATGCCATGATGAAAGAGCACGTTGATGCTTTGCATAACCCCCGATCATTTCCAGCAGCCATCCTATCACTGTAAAACCTGCTGCTCTCCTGTGATGTTTAGGGACACAAGTGCTTTGTGTGTGTAGAAGCAATCTAAGCCCAAGGGATCCCGCTAGAAAAATCATGGTTACATGAGATATCAATGGGAGGGGACGCGTTGGTGCGCGCCAAAAATTTAGAAAATCCATCCTACATCTAGAGCGCAGCTTCGGTCATACATGCGATGATGCTAAGTAGAAGTGTAAATATCATCATAGGTTAACATGGAAAAAGTTAAGTTAACGGGGGGGGGGGGGGCCGGGGGGTGCGTATCTGCGCGTATTATCTACTCAACGCGTACGTGCTGTAACGCGTGAAGTGTAAATTCAGCCGTTCCAGTAGGTCCCATTCCGTTTTGTCGCCTTTCACGCGTGCATCACACGAGATTCACGTGTGTTCACATCGTCTTTTATTTCCCCCCTCCAGTGACGTTTTGCACTGACCAAAACAACCACCGGCTGCACTTGTGGAGCAGGGTTACATTGGGCGGAGTTTCTGCCCCGCGCACATCGACAATCTGGTTTTAAAACGGGCAACGCCTTGTAGCAGGCAGGCTCTGGATAACCGCAGACATTAAACTCTGCATATAACGTAAACTTTTGCATTTCACGTTGGTGATCTTTCCAAAATGAGGAGAAATAATCGTTATGGAATAGAGAACTAAACTATTGGTAATATCACGTGAACGTTATTTTGACTCAAACCGCCTCCGAGGTGTTCTCCTCCACCACTCAGAAAAAAAGCCGACCGCCTTTTCTCTGGATCTCTAACATTTATAATAAATACATAAATATAACAATATAATGAAGATGCTTTCAAATAATTTAGCAAGCTGGAATGTCATCTTATTTTAACTGCAAAATTCTCTCGATGCTCCTCTCCTCTCCTCCGCAAATCACTAAATGAGGAAAAGGGAGAATATTCACTCAATCTATTCGCTTGAGATGTTACACATACAATATTAATATAGTCTAAGAGGTGTACCACCGTAGCCCGTGTATTTACCACTGACTGTAAAAGTAAGAAAGTTAGCAATGCAAGATTACATTTTTTAATTACCAAATCAGATTTAATTCAGCACAGTACTTTCCAAGCTCAGTAAGAGGAATAAAACGTTTTTGAATTATGAAAATAGGAAGAATAAGGTGGTTTTGATTTTTATTACCCATATTGATAAGTGCTTTTATGCGTTTAGTGAAAGATAATTTGGTTTTAAAAACAAAGGGATACTGTGGAACCTTCTATTCTGCCAGTTTCAAGCCTTTATTCATCTTCTAAGTGCTGTAACTTCCCTATTTTACTAACTATAAACCATATTTAAAAATCACTGTAAAGAAGGAAACAAGTTTCAAGGAGTTGGAACTTCGATATTATTTTACAATTTGGCCGACCCCGCATCTCCCAATATGGCCTCCAGTATCCAGATTGGCTGCCAACATGAAAAATTCCGGAAAACATTTTTTTCAAACTACTATGTAATATATCAATATATAAAAGGTAAGCAATCTAAATTGATGCTTAGGAAATGTTTTTGGGCCTATGCACACACACACAGTGTTATATATGAGACTAAATTCAGACCTCAGTTTATACATATGTTATTTATGAGACTAAAGTTACAGGGACCGCGCTTTAAACTGTTATTAATGAGGACTAAAGTTACATACTATCAGCCTTTAAACATTGCTTATTTGTGAGACCTAAAGTTACAGACCCGAGCTTTAAACATGTTTATTAATGAGACTAAAGTTACAGACCTCAGCTTTAAAACGTTCTTAATGAGCCTAAAGTTACAACCCCAGCATTTAAACCTGTGTTTTTATGCAGACTAAAGTTACAGACCTCCGCTTTAAACTGTGTTATTTATGAGGGACTCAACTGTACCAGTTCCTCAACTATAAACATGTTATTTATCAGGAACTACGTTACAGACCTCGCCTTTAAGCATGTTATTTATGAGACTAAAGAAAGACCGTAGCTATTTTAAACATGTTAAAAACCCAAACACCTTGTTACCCTGTAAAATGGATTAGGTCAACCAATGGCCATTGGTCGTTTGGGCCACGTGACTCGCGTTTCTACCCCGGAAAAGTGGACTCGCGGACTTTGCCCTGCCGCCTTCGGCTAGCAGCAGCAGCAGAGCAGAGTGACTGTGATGGAGCGCGGCGGTTTTGCAACTTTATTCACTGATCCGCGGGTACAAACAACCGTGTTGACATGATTCAAATATACCCATCATTTCTAAAAGCTTTACTCTTAGATGTATTGTGCTGTGGTGTTGGTTTCCCAAAAACCCCGGTTAGCTTACCGTGTATTTTGCTATTAAGTTCGTGGATTATACTCCGTAAACCGCAAACAGCTGGAGAGATGCAGCTATCACCGTAATCGCAGTAATAAGTGATTCTGTTTACCGGTAAATATCAACCTCCGCGGCGAACGTCATTACCCGCCGACTGCGAGGATATCCCGCTCATTTTTTTTCAGGAAGAGTCCAGACTATCGGTGGCCCCACTCTGCTCAATATTCGTCAACTTTATTAATTCATATCTAGGAAATAAAGGAATCTTCAGAACATTCCACACATTTATGGGATTCTATGAATAAAATATGTCTTATTGATTCGTTGGTTGGTTAGCTTATATTCATGATATTTGCTGCTCAGTAAATCAAATGAACTAAGTGAGTAAGACCGCCGACCTCTTTTTCACCACACGCGTTGCCTCAGGCGCAGCGTTTCCCTGTGGTCTTGCCTTGCTAATTTAAAAGTAATGAGGCCCTGCTTCCTGGCCTCTGGCTGTGAGGCCCACCACCGTCATCAGTCTCGGTGCTGCCTCTGTGTAGATCACACGTCTGTCTCGGACTGGGTGTTCCTCGAGGCTTTAAGGGGGTGTAGGAAGGAGCGATCCTGTTTGTCCCGCATGTTTTTTTGTTTAACGCATCCTGCGCCGAATTGCAAATTGTTACTCAGGGGACTTCCCATGCATACCGTAGGCGCACATATATAATAATATATAGGGATCAGGAGCTTTCTGTCGACGACCCACACGCACCATGACATGGATCATATTTCTTGAGCATCCCAACCCGCCCGAAACCAGCGGGACCCGAGGGTGGACTGCGGGTTTCGGGCCGGACACCCGCGCACCTCGCATGTCCTGTTAGGGCTGCAGGAGCATTTGTTCCTCCATTATTTTAATGGGACTTTGGTCCATGCACACTGTAAAAAAGATAAAGTTAGTTCACTCAAAATTTCCAAAGCAACCAGGCTGCGCAAGGTTTTTGAGTTGAAGGCATTAATTAATTCTTCATAGTTTTGAAAGAAACACACTTATTATGTTGTGACAGTTATGTTTCCAAGTTTGCCACTAAGTGTTTTAAATTCATTACTGGAAATTTCAAGTCTGTAAAACTTATTTTTTTAAGTTCAGATTACTGTCCCTACAATAACTTACCTAATTTGTGTTTAAATTTAGCCCCACCATTTAAAGATCCTGATGTTTATTTTATTATTGCGTTTCAAGGACCAGGTCCCTTGGGTAGGGGAAAACCGGAGCACCCGGAGGAAACCTATGCAGACACGAGAACATGCCAATTCCCACACAGAAAGGCCTGTCCGACCGGGATTCGAACCCAGGACTTGTGTCAGAAGCGACGAGGCTATCCACTCAGCACCGTGCCGCACACCACTGTGACCAGGCGGGGACCTTCTGTTTCTAAGACTGAGCCAGAAATTATTACGGGCTACTTTGGCTTGGCCCAGTCGTTTAGGTTGGTAAACAATAAATACAGTGATTTTTGTGGTCAAATTAGTTTGTTCCAAAATGTTGAATTGAGCTGGTTGCCATAACACCTATTTAAATAGCGCAAACGCAGATAAGTGACCTCACTATAGCTCGCGTGAACTGTAAAACACGACAACTCAAAAATTGTTCACCTTACTCAGATTTTTGCATTCACTGACAATAAAATTTCCAGTTGGAATGGAACTATCTGTGAGCCACTTGAACTTTCAGAAGTTCATACAACTTCAAAAGTCAAATCACTTAATATATCAAATAAGATGAACTTTTCATCAGAAACTTCAGGAAAGTGAGTTGACGAAAATTAGACGCATAGGCAGGGATCTTTGCACACCAGAGGCAACTTGGCAAGTTTTTATTCACAACAGGTGGTGATTCAGGCAGAAACAATAAAACAGGGGGAAACAGATATCTGGTTATATTGGCTCGTCAGTCAGCCTAAAACAACGGATACACAAACGTGCAGATATACAATCAAAGACCTTGTGTGTTTGTACTTCATATTTTCTCTTGTTTTTGTTACTACTATACAGGCCCATGGCTCTTCTTTGTTCAAAAGTTCCAAACTGGCAATTGTATTGTCAGTGAATGCAAAAATTCTTAGTAAGGTGAACCAATTTTGAGTTGTATTTTTTACAGTCCAGCACCAGAAGTGCATTAATGTGAGTTTATAACCACATTATTTAAAAGATATAAATGCAGAGCTTAATATATATATGATTCGCAGTTTGCGTGTTTCGTCTCAGACATTTTCTTGATGCGCAAATTCAATTTTTTTTAAACCTTGGATTGCCGAGTGTGGAACCATGTTTATTATTGTCCAAAATCTAGAATATCATGCGTGTTTTGGCGTGGTTTTGTTGTGCCGCAAGGTTGATATGAATAGTTTGCTAGACTGTAGTAACTTGTAAAACGATATTGCTTTAATACAAAAGTTATGATGGGTGGGAAACTTTCTTTTATCCGTGTTTTACAATATAATGGAGTTGGCTGATGACTGCTGCCTTAGTTTTTAAAACTAGCAAACAAGCGAAATTGGCCCCTGTTTTTGAAAAGACAAGGAAGGTTGGCTTGCTAACATTTGCATGTATTGATTTGCAAAATTTAGGTAAATGACTAATAACAGCAGG